TTTCATTCCGCTTATACTCATCGTCCTACGCAACTATTTCTTTCACCTTGTCGAAGCATTCGGCGAAGGTGATGTACTCATATTTAGGTTTATAGAGCTTCTTACTGACTCGAACTCATTGGGAAGTCTATTTTTGAACGCGGTGACAACCATGTGATCGTTTGGTTTATCTAACTCTGCATAGTCAGTGTGGAATCACTTGATTTAGTCCTTGAGGCTCTCGTCGTCCCTTTGGCTGATCAGGAATAGGGTATCCACTCCATGCTTGGCCTCCTTATAGGTGGAGAAAGCTTCATGAACTTATCACTCAGAGTTTTATAATCTATGATGGATCCAGATAGGAGCTCCGTATACCACTTTATTGTGTATTCCTTAAGTATGCACGTCAGGGAGTCACTATGGTTATACAAGGCCATGATGTTCTAGTATGACATTTTGTGACTCAAGGGGCCGAAGTCTCCCTCGAAATACCTTATTAAGGTTATGTGAATTTGTTCGGTGGTGTTTCCCATGCTGAGGTGTTGGAAAGGGGGTCATCCTCGTAGCATGATTGTGTATCGCCCTCTAATGGCACCTTGCTCAGGCCATTAAGGTCGAAGTTTAGTCACCTTAGGTTGATAGAGAGGCATTGGTTTGGCTCTGCGTACCCCAAAACTGCATGACTGAGGCTCTATGGTTGTTTTCGTCGTTCGAAGAGGCGTTTCTATAGTTGTTGGGGCTGGAATAAAAGTTGGGAACAACATTGGAGCCAGACCTTCCAAGGTGTTCATGAATCCCATACCGGTAACTGGGATCCCATCAGTGTCGCAAGGGTAATTAGGATCCCTTGCTTGGGGAGGTGTTTCTACGGCTGTTGGGGCTGTGTCAGAGGTTTTCCATTTCGAAGCTCATTTTCTCAAGTATGCCTCGGATGAGGTCGAGCAGTGTTTTCAGCGCCGGATGGGGTGTCGACATGGCCTTCTGCCGCCAACGCAGGAGGTGCGTGATCGATGCATAGCCTTCTATGAACCTTTGGGGCTTGGGCTCCTAGGTATTTTCTTGGGCTTGCACCATTGGGTAGGCCTAAAATCGTCCAACGGTAACACCATGCTTGTACAACTATTGCCCAAATCAGATCATTTGGCGATGTATTCCAAAAGATGAGCATGAAAGTGTTTTGAAGTTTGCCCATCACTATACGTGTGGACACTTTGGGTCAAAGAGGACAACATCTAAGATTTTGCAAAGTGGGTTGTTTTGGCCTTCACTTTTCAAGGATGCAAACAATTGGTATCAAGCTTGTAATCGTTAGCAACAAGTAGGCAACCAATCCAAGCGGAATGAGATGCTGTAGTTGGGTATTCTGGTTGTTGAATTATTTAATGTTTGGGGCATTCATTTCATGGGATCATTCCCATAGTCTCTTAGAACCAATACATTCTTGTGGTTGTGGAATACATTTCTAAATGGGTCGGGGTAATTTCAGGACCTATAAACAAAGGGTCAGTGGTCTTGGATTTCCTCTAATGTACATTTTTTTCACGTTTCGGTATTCTAAGAGCTATTATTTACCGCACTTCTTGAATAAACCTTTTGTTGCATTTCTTGCAAAATATGGGATCCCAGAGAAAATAGTCAGCTCTGCTCACAAGAACTGGAGTCTGATATTAAATGATGCCTCTGAGCGTACATAACAACATATAAAACTCCGATTGGGATGTCTCTATTTCGACTCGTTTATAGGAAAACATGGCATGTACTTATGAAGCTAAAGCGTAAATTTTGCCTATGAAATAGCCAAATTTTGCCTAGGAGAAAAATTTGGGCTATCAAACAGCTAAATTTTGCCTATGATTTGAGGGTGCTAAGCGTAAATTGCAGTTTAATGAGCTAGATGAAATTCATAATGAGGCGTATGAAAGTAAGAAGCTCTACTAGGAGAAAACTAAGGCATTTCATGACAGTCAAATTTAGAAAAGAGTTTCGATCAAGGCAGCAAGTGTTGTTTGATTCAATGTTGAAGTTGTTTCCAAAGAAGTTGAAGTCCTGCTGGAACAGGCTATACCAGCTTATTAACATTTATCCTCATGTAGTTGCCGACATTATTAATGAGTAAAGTGGTAACACATTCAAGGTGAATGATCACAGGATGAAACCATAATTGGATTCATCCTATGACAGCGCACACGAGTTAGTGACTCTGAAGGAACAAGTGATTTGACCACCGAACTTCTACCACATCTAGCTATAGGTGTTAACTAAAACACTTAGACCACCTCCAATGGTGGGCTAAATGTTAAATTACCCCCCAAATTTCACCCCCCCAAACCATCTCCAACCCATGCTAAAACATTGGGCTAAATGTCAAATGTTAAAGTTAGGCCAAATACCCCCCAGAATTCCCCCCCACCCCCCGCGCGATTGGACTCGCTGGCCCAAAGGTCAGTCTCGGCCCGTTCACTCGCCAACGTGCCCCACGCGAAGCGCATGCAGTCCGTTCCCGACAGGGTGGGCCCTGCTGTCAACGGGTTGTCGGCCACCCAGACCACCTCCAACGGCTACATTTTCAATCCAACGGCTGCTTTTCAAAGATCGTTGGTTGATCCAACGGTCCAGATTCAAATTTGATTTTTTAAAATATGTTATTTTAAAATACATTGAATCCAATGGCTGAGATCAAATATAATCAAATCTAACGGTAAAAAAAAAGATCTAACGGCCCAAATTTAAATCTAACGGTTAAAATAATTAAAAAAAAATTATTTAACTCAAAATTCACCCAAAAACTCTATAAATACCTATGTATTTGTTCAAACATCCACACAAAACTCAAATTTCTCTTACAATTCTTCCAATTTATCTTTCTACCATTTCTTTCTATTTCCAAATTGTTCAACATGGCAAGAGAGCATATTAGAGGTCGTAATTGGACTTGTGAGGAAGATGTTGCTCTATGCTTGGCATGGGTTTCTGTTAGCGAAGATGGTGCAGTTGGCACTAATCAAAATAAGAAGGTTTTGTGGGATAAAATCATTGCAAAGTTTCAAGAAAACTGCAATGGTAGCAGGCGGGATGGTGGTGGTGTTTATGATCGGCGAAAGACTATCAACAAAGCATGCACTTTATGGAAGGGAAGCTTGGAGAGAGTCGTGGTTGGCATGGCTAATGGGAGGAGCGCCATAGAAATTGTGAGTTTTGTTCTTGATATTTTATTTGTCATGTACATAATATTATGTTGCAACTAATTATTTTTATGTATTTTTTGCATAGGGTGACAAAGCAATGGAAATTTACAAGACAAGAGTAACATCAAAAAATCAAGTTTTTAAGTTGTAACATGCTTGGGACATCCTCAAGGATTGTCCGAGGTGGGGAACCGATGCGGACCAACAAAGGGGAAGATTATTTCAACGTGAAGCTGCACAGACAAATGCCGGAGATGAAGGTGTTGATGAAGGTGTCGATGAAATGACCCCATCTCCTTCTTTTGCAAGGCCCCCAGGAAGAGATAAGCAAAAGGAAGCAAAGAGAAAAGGGAAGTCCCAAGATCTGATGAGTGGACACTTTGATACCGGAATTACAAAATTGAACGAAACTCATAGCGCTCGCCAAGAAGAAGCGGCCCGAATGCATTTGCAAATGAAGGAAATCTCGGATAGGGAGGAAAATAGGTTTGAAATTGAATTCATGATGAAGGACCTCAGCAAATACACTCCAGAGAGGAAGAAGTTCTTACGTGGTAAGCAAAAGGAAATTATGCGAAAGTCTGCCTCAAGGAGTATGTTTCAAGATGATGAATCTTCTAAACCCTATATCCCAACATTTCAACGAAGTCCATCACCAAGCGAAGATGGTGGATATGATTGTTAAGTTTATGTAGTGTATGAATTATATGCTTTATTAATTAAGTTTATTAATTGTGGTTTGTGAATTATCGGTTGTATTAAGTTTATGTACTTTATTAAATTTATGTCTTATTAATTATCCAATAATTTATGTCTTATTATTCCCCACTTTGATGTAGAATAAATGCCTTCAATAGATTGGTAAAAGTTGACGGCTTGCTTTATGGGAAATTTAGTGATTTTTCAATATTTATCGGAATTTAAATTTTTTTAGATTCAAATGTTCATAAAATTAATTTACGACAGTCTACATATTTATTTTTTTAAAAAAAATTAATTTAAGAAAAAAAAAACAGCCTAAGTTCATTCTTTAATAATCTCGGGCTAAAATTTTAGGCCAGAACGGTTGGAGTAGAAAAGTTGTTTCTGGGCTAAAAGCTAAATTTTCCGGGCTAAAATATTTGGCTTTTAGCCCAACTATTGGAGATGGTCTTATTGCAGCCCAATTTTCTAACTCTAACTTGAAAAAAAATCCAAAACATATGTTTTTCTTTCAGTTTTGTTTTCTTTCAGTAATACTAGTTTAAAGTTTTGTATTTTCAACTTTCTATTTTGTTTCATGTGTACAAATTGTTAGATGAAATCCTTGTTTGCAATAAAATTCTTGTTTGCCTAATGTGTTTTTAATTCGAAAAAGCATTAATTTTGTTGGATAAAATTCTTATCTTTTCAAAGCAAATTTTTGTTTGCATGAACTTCTATTGTGAAAAACTGAGTTGATAAAAACCAGCCATTGATTGAAAAACTTTGGACTTTCGTTGGTTGCAATTAAGACGTACAAGACGGCCCTATTTCATCTAAGACATCTAAAGAAAATAAAGTAAAACTGGATCCTGCATCCAGCAGCAATTCATTCATTCACATCAACCACAAGAGTTCATGCAAACAAATAGGGCCATATCATATCGTAGACAATTTAAGCAGTTCAAAGCAATTGAATTTCACGCAAAGGACAGTCAAAGCAGACAAGCATATATATGGTCCTAACATATCATTGAATTGCTAAGTCTCTAAGGTCATTCCTAATCTTGTTTATCTAGCAGTTAAGTCCTATGCATGTCTCTAAGCACAGTCATAGCAAGCAGCAGTTATAAAATGGGTTTTTAGAAAGCATACCAGGACAATTCTGATGAAGCTTCTGCATGTGGACCGACTCACTCCACTCAAATCACTCCCACCCCATGAACCAACTACTTCATTGTAAAGTCTCTATTGTTCTTGTTTAAAAGTTCATGTTCAATACCTAGACATCCAGAAACAACCAATTACAATCAGAGAGAAAAGGAAAGTTAGAAAATAATCGTGAGTGATCAAATATAAAAGGGCTCACTTAGCAGCTGAATGGTGTTTAGAACTGCAGGGTCCGGAAAGGGATTCATTGCGAGCTTGGCTTCATCAGACAAGGCAAGGCAGTATGCTCTGAAAAACTGGAAGGACCATCTGACATGGAGAATCTTCTTGAGTTCCGTTCGACATGATACTCTCACCAATCAACTATGAATCTCCCTTGACAGAACAACTCAATTGAAATTCACAATGTAACAGTTCAATTGAAAAAGTTCCCAATTTTTATTAACAAATTAAAGATTAAAAAAGCCAAGAATTGCAGAAATTACCCACCTTTGCCGTCAAGTCACTGTCCAACAGGTTCCGTGGTTTAAGTATAAAAATGTGGAGAAGCTAGTAAGCCTTGTTTACGAGATCGTAGAATTACTTGTGATAGTTTGTGTCCGAGAAGTATAATAGATGCAGCATTTGAAGCTGAAGGGCAATCCCGACGTCTGCCACTGCAGCAGCAATCTGAAGAATTTCGGATTCTTCATAGTTGAAAGATGCAATACCAGAAACTGTGGGTTTTCCTTCTGTAAGGTTGAGGTTCAGATTGAGATTTCAGATTCACACATAAACTAGAAACAATACGTGACTTATTCAACATATTTTTAGAGCTTGAAAACCAGTTTGTGTGTGTGAGCATGATGTTCTGCAATGTAAATCTACCTTATCTAAAGCAATCTAATCTACGACGGCTAAGCGTTCAAGCACATCTGCTCCTCTCACAAGGAGCCCTTGCCTTGCTCCTGCTCATTTTTCAGTGCAGTAAAAGTAAAATCAGAACTTTCCAGAACTACGTTAATGTCATAACAACTTAACAAGTCATAATCGTAAGCACGTTCAAAAGGGCCAGCAACTAAGTGCGGCTCTCTTTCGAATTAACTGTCACATTCAAAAGCTTTTGGTATATGAGGAACAATATGCAACATCAAAGAAAATTTTAGGTGGTGTACCGAGCGAAGTCCCAACTAGGATTGCTGTAGGTGTGGCAAGACCCAGTGCACAAGGGCAAGAAACAACCTGCGAAAGAAACATACATGCTTGTTTGATAAACATTAAGGACAGGTTTTCCATTTGAGATGTATTCTCCAAAAAGCAGAAATACGTCAAGTAATTGGCAGATAGTTCAGAGTGAAACGAAACAGTACTGGGGTTGCTTAATAGTCAAGGCAGCGCCTTTGTATTTTAAGAGCAGTGCTACGGGCACCAAAATAAACCCAAATTCTACATGTAACCTGAAGTCGCAGTATATTTGGTGACGCCTGACTCGCGTCTGATACCAACTTCCACATATTTGGTGACTGAAATTTGGGGAAAACAATGGTGCCTCTAGTATGTTTTGCAAAACTGGAAGGACCATCTGACATGGAGAACCTTCTTGAGTTCCGTTCGACGTGCTACTCTCACCAATCAACTCAGAATCGCCCTCGACAGAACAACTCAATTGAAATTCACAATGTAACAGTTCAATTGAAAAAGTTTCCAATTTTTATTACAAAATTAGAGATTAAAAAAAAGCCAAGAATTGCAGATATAATCGTCTCTAGGGTTTAACTCAAGAAAAAGAGGGATGAAATCGAATCAGAAAATTTCCCAATTCAAATTATAAGAAGCAGTAATAATCTAATCTGAACCTCAAATTCAACATTTCTTGTAATTCAAAAAATTAAAAAGGGGGGGGAAATTGAATGAAATAGAACAAAAACACAGACCTGCTTCAGAGGTCGAAGAGGGCTTGGAGTCGTGATCTGGAATGTGGTCTTTGCAGTTCTGGGGGAACATTTCCGCCGTTTGATCTGATTAAAACGGAAACATTCGCGACTATTACACCGCTCGCTCGACGATTTAACAGAAATTTAATAAAAAACAAGAAATAATTCGAGGGAGAGAGAGGGAGAGAGAGTACCTTCCATGGATTCGGATCACAGCAAGAATGCGAGTTCTAGAGAGAGAGAGAGAGAGAGTTGTGAATTTTAGACGAAGATCAGAGAGAGAGAGAGAGAGAGCGAGAGAGCGAGAGAGCGAGAGAGATTGTTTATATGGACCGGAGGGATTGTGAGGGGAGGGTTTTGATTGAATTGAAGTTTGAATTGGGTGAATCTGAGCCGTCGGTTTAAATGGAAGGTAGCAGGGAGCTCTTTCTTTCTAACGGCTATAAAAAATTTCTCGGTGGACCACTTCGAAATGGCCCAATAGGCCCAGTTAGTGAGAATCCCACTCCCAAGGAAAAAGGCAAAAACAAAAAGGTTGATGGGCCCGACCGAGAAATTTACTCAATTATCCTACCATTTTTTGCATGGATTTTTCTTGATATCAATACCTTTTGTAATGTACAAAATGTTTAAAAACCTATACACCTCCTCTAAATTATGCCCTTTTTTTAATATAAATTTATTGTTATTAACGAGAAAGGGAAGGGTTCAAAAGAGGGAAAGTTATGAACGTGGGATACATGGGTAGAAACTCAACACTCTATTCATAAAGATATTAAATAATATCAAATAAAAGAAAGGACAACTTTACTGGGAATCAAAACTTAATCATGCCCCTTAATTCTTCTTTTATTTATTTGGTCTAATGAATAAAAATGAAAAAAGTGAGTGTGACAACTAAGTGAAAGGTATAGATAACTAACAACATGTCAATATTGAAAGCGAAGATAAAGTTTCAAAATCGAGATCCGATAGATAACGGGGGAGTAGTCCAACTCTCCTAACTTTTGGATGTACGAAACTCTCCACATTATGATAAGATCTTGGATCTGCCTACGTGTGAACCTAATGTTTATTTGTGTTCAAAATAATCTTAGATCACTTATAATAGGCAACAACATATTTCACAAGATAAAATTCGAACATCACTGTATAGTTTATTTGTGTCATCCAAGTGTTTTATTTAGCATGCCGCTACACGTGAGAATGTAGAGAGTGTTCCAACATCCGAAAAGTTAAGAAATCTTGTATGAAAAGAGCTGCCCTACTTCCTCCATTGCAAACTAAGAGGCCTCCAACTGGGTTCATCCTCTCGATAAATCGAAAAAAAAAAAAAAACAGGGAAACTAACGAAAAGTTAAAAAAAAAAATTTAGTTTTAATGAAAAATGACAAATAAAGGTGTAGTGAATAGTATCAGAGAAAGGTAAAAATGTAATTTTTCGTTAAAAGTAAACAGTACCATAAGTGTCAAAAAAAAAAAAAAAAAAAAAAAAAAAGAGTAAAAAAGAACCAGGCACGTTACAGTGAGTGATACTGGTTTCATAGGCCCGGAGGGGACCTGGATCGTCAGTGAGCTTTCAAAGTTGGGAGTACTCTCTTGTTCATAGTTTTTGGTTTAGACAATGTCCGAATCCAGTCTACGGCCCGCCTCTGCATGCCGGCTATGCTTCGACTAAATAATTTAGCGAGTTTTTGGCTGGTGGAACATGTCAACTATGAACCAGGACGTGAAAAAATAATGCAAAACGATGATACTTCACCACAAATTACTAATTCGGAAAAGAAATAATAAATCATATACCCCATCGTGGGGAAAAAAAAATTACTTAGACTTTTTACACGTAAGTCATGAATGGATTAATTTTAAATATAAAAAACAATGGTGATGTAACGAGTTAACCAGAGTTAGTTTGACCGGTACATATTGTGTTTTATTTATTTTATATGTCACTACATATATATCATCTATTTTACAACAAAAGAGTGATTATGTATAGAAAATATTTTGTCTCCTTCTTCATCTGATAGTAGGATTTCAGACATTCTTGTCAATGAGAGTTTGATATTTATGAAATTGTTGCATCAACGAAGATGTTGGTGTCGCTCAATTCTTTTGGAGAATGAATCAACAAGTATCTTTATTGTGTCCATTTAGTTTGAAGTCAATGACAATTCAATCCTTTTTTTTTTTGTTTTTGACGTTGGACAAAAGATATCAACATTTACGAATTCTAAACTCATTGTGTGCTGGTGCAGGTTTGATTCCGACCAAGAAAATTTTCAACATAAATACAGAGAAATTAAATATTGTGAACTAATCACAAATTCAAACTTAAAACATCTTACACGGGTGTAGGGTTTAACACAATAATATGAAGCTAAACCGGTGAACGACCTAAGTACAAAACAAAAACGAGTGGAGAGAAAACGTCGTCGTTCCCAAGCACAACGCCTGGGAAATACACCAATTATCCAAAATATTCTCCGTCTCCCCTGATCCAACGCTTTATCTGGTTCAGCTCTGCCACCTGGCTCCCCGCCACCAGCAACGCTCGACAATGGCGATCGGCGAGTCGGCCTCCACCTCCGCCACCGAAACCCCAAAGTCTTTGGCGCCAAACTTTTCAATGCTACTTTCTTCAACCAATTTCGTACCTTTTCTCAGAGCATCACCGTCGTCATCCTCCTCCTCGGCAGCTGCAGCTTCCAAGAAGCCCCGTTTCGTTCTTCCCGACATTCCCGCTTCGGTTGCATCCGCCGCCGATAAGTTATCCCAATTTCTTCACTCGTTGGCTTCACAAACTCCATTTCTCAGCAAGCTCATCTCTTTGCGCTGTGAGTTTCAAAGCATCTGCCAGCAGGTAAATTAATTTCAGTATCGATACACTGTACAGTCTCACCGTAGCGGTTAATGGTTGGACTCCTTCTTAACATCGTTAAAAAGTTAGCCCAACCATCAACCGCTACATCAGGTGGTCTACAAAAGGTAGTCTAAAAATGGTTGAGTTCAGATTGGGTGCAGAAATCATAGGCAGGTGAAGACATTATCGGCTCACAATTTTGCGGCGGTGTTGCAGGGAGATTAGGTGGATGGGCTTGTGGTGGCGAACGGCATCTCCAACTTCTTGAACTTGTACAACACTCTTTTGGTCGTTAGGCTTGTCCTCACCTGGTTCCCCAACTCCCCTCCTGCCATTGTTGCACCCCTCAGGTATTGTCATGATTTGATTTTGGTTGTCAATGTTCGATATTTTACTTTAACAAAACCGTGAATTAGGATCACTGAATTCTACTGTTCGTAATTTACAGTTTGACAACATAATATGACTAATTGTCGGGGTAAAAAAACATTGAAATGATTGTGATGTGGACGTGGATATGATGTGCAGCACGATATGTGATCCGTACTTGAACATATTTCGGGGTTTAATCCCACCACTTGGAGGCACATTGGATCTCTCTCCCATTCTGGCATTCTTGGTTTTGAATGCCTTGACAAGCACAGCTGCTGCTCTACCGGCAGAGCTTGCAACGTCACCGGTGTCAGGAGCTTCCCAACAACTCGTTGCTTCCCCTACCGGAATTACCAACTTCTCTACACCTCAGAAGAAATGGTTGACGAGGCTCCAGGGCAGCAACAACAACACCACAAAGAGCTCCGGCGGTGTCAGTTAGGTTTGCACTGTATTCTCTTGTAATATCGAGTACCAAACACTAATCTTCCGGCTAGTCCCTTGTTTGTTTTGTACTTGGCTGAAATTGAAGAAAATTTTTGCCTGGCATAAAGATAATGGTTCTATTGATGCTTTCATCTGTTGCTTTCTATAGATAGTGTGGAGCAATGAACTTGAGGAGGGAAACCTACCTGTAACCGGGACGGCATTATTGCGCTATCCTCAACCGATCAAACATGGTCATGTGAATGCAGTTTAAGCATATGACGGTGCTTGATTGATGTGGAATACCGTCACAATGACACCATCATATGAAAGATGATGCGGATAAGAAGTCATGTCAGGAGAAACGTTTGAACTGTGAAGTCCTAGAGGGGAGGAAGTTCCACCCCCTTCTTTGTTGGGTTTATACTTTAGACCTAAGTTGACTTGGGTAGTTTTGCCTGTACCCATATTTCTTCTCTTGATAAATTAATCAACTTCAGTAATATTTTCAACTAGGCCGATGATTTTTTTTTTGGCAAACACTAGGCCGATGATTTTAATGCTCGTCTTTTAGCCTATTGCACGTTTCTGAACGTGCAGAAAAAAAATATAAAATATTCAATTTAGAGTGCATATAGTTAAAATATGAGTGTCAAATTCATTACATTTTCAACTATTTTTAACAAAGTTGAAGTTCCATTATAAAATCAATTAGCATATCGAGAGGAGCCGAACTACTTATATTCACATGCAAGACCCCTCCTTTTCCCGATATGGGATTGATACTCTCAACACACTCCCACATGTACGGCGAATTTTCAAGCCTATCATGTGGACAACACAAATCGGGAGGCGTGGTGCACGTGTGACTATTAGCCTTCACACGCGGGACAACCTGCTTTAATACCATAAAGAAAATTGATATTCTATCACCAAACCAATTGGCAACGTGGGAAATAGCTCAGTTACTTATAAGCACATTAAAGATTCCTCGTTTTCCCAATATGGAATTGATACTCTCAACATATTCAACTCAGTAAGACGAGAGTGTTGAAAATTCATGGGAAGCAAGTGGAATCCGATTCCAAATTGTTATTCAGCCACAGCCAGTACAAATTATTCATAAATTTTTGTTAATGGAGAATAATCTTTCCCACTCAATCTTGCACTTGAGCCTTCATGTTTAAGCTGCTAACTTCTACTCTTTCAAAAAGCATCCAAGTCAGAAAACAGCAGGTGGTTTCTCCTGCCGCTCCTGTGTTGGTAGCTTAAAATGGAGCTCGGAGCTACGAGGAGGACGAGCAGGTTTCCGTCATGCAATAAGCTGGTGGCGATGGGGTTGAGCCTTCTAGCCGTGCTTTCTCCTCTCTATATCGACCGAAGAACTACAGATGATTCAGAGCTTGATCCAGATGATCCTATCAACTTTGCTTCTTGGCTGCCTCTTCTTCTCTTGGTGTTGATCTTGGCCATTGCTTTGTCGCTTTACATAGACCGAAGCTTTTCCAGGTTTGATCCTTATTGGATTCACAGGGTTGGCGGTTCTTCGTGTGGTATAACGATAATTCTCATGGTTCTGGCTTTGGTTTTGAAGTGTAAATCTTCCATTAGGAACCGGGAGCCTTAAGCTCAAATCGTTTGCAGTACTTGTTCGTTTCGCTGTGTAATTTTCTCATCGTTGTACCGAACGAAGTTCATGTATCTGCTTATATAAATAAGAGTAAGCAGCTTCTTATCTCCATTATCTTTCCAGTCATACCAAATTAAGAAAAAATTAGAACCAAACAGATCGTTCAACGTTCATATGTAATATAGAACAAATGCTTCTCGCCAGCCATTAGCCAATAATGTACTAGTTTACAACTGAAGAAAATATATGGCGTTGATCGTGCTGTTAGACTCTACAGACAACGAATGCGACAGACAAAACTCAAATTACAACAGATCAGAAGGGTCCCCAAAATTAAGTAGAAAAAAATAAATCCAGCTTTTTCATAAAAAACACGATCATGATCACAATCCAAAGGCATACGACATTGCAATCAGAGCCATGGTGAAAAATGGCCACAGACGACTGCTTCTAGACCAATCATCGGCACCACTGGCTGGGTGATTAGATTCACTGCAATCATCATTAGCACCACTAAAGCATCCGGGCCTTGTTATTTTAGCCTCACCTCCCTCCGTTACAAAGCTGCTGTTAGTTTTTCCGCTGCTGAACAACACACACCAGAAATACGAACCTCCACTATCACTGCCACTCACAGCAGCTCCCACTTCAGTGTGGTTCTTATTGTAGAGAATGTCCAAGGCCTTGCTGTTTTCAATCAAGATTTTCGAAAATGCTTCATCAGCGTGGACATATTTGGACTGGCAGCCAATTAAACGACCAGTGATTGGAGCGAGGGTTGAAGTTTGAACACCACAGTTGGGAGCAAATGTTTCAGCAAATGCAGAATCAGGAGGCTTCTTGGCATCGGACCCTCCTACAGCATCGCAGTCACCTTGGTACGCTTTTATGTACTGCAGGGCAATGCACGCCAAACCCTGGTTGTCGTAGAGGGATGATGCTTTGTGTGCAGTTCTGTTGCTGTTGATTATATCGACTAGCTTATCCGCTGGGTTATTAGTAACTTTGACTGCAATTTTCATCCATGGTCTCATAAGTAGGAGTATATAAGTTTTTGTGAGCCGCAAATACAATAAATAACTAATAAGGAGAAATGTTTTGATCCTTACAAGAATATACTATCCGAGAGCATGTAACTGATAGGTCAAACAGAACCCAGTGACACGAAAAACTGAATCCAATGAAGCGAAAAGTGGAACCCTAATGGAGCAAAAACTGCACCCAATGCAGTGAAAAAAAAAGGAACCCAATGAAGCAAAACAACTGAACCTAATGAGAGTTGTGGTGAAAAGCGGGAAGAGAAAAACAAGACCATGTAGATTCCAAAATGTATCGAGTTCGTATAAGCACAGCATCAAATTAGGGGGAAAGTGAATTCCATTAGGATTAAAAAGGTCCAATGCCAAATTTAGAAATAAAAACCTGGCAATGTTATTAGTTGCATCCCAACTCACAGACCACCTCTTAAATCTAATCTGCTGTTTTGGTCCCCAGAGAACAAATCTTCAACTGAAGAAAATATTTTGATTGCTTTAAACCCGCCCTTTTCTTTTATTCGAGCGATACTCAAATCTAATAAAAAATACGAGAAAGGTGATTCGAACTTAGGTGCATAGTGGAGATCACACAGCTCTACCCAACTTGGCTACGCTAAAATTCAAGCATACCCTTAAACATAAAAAAATCCAAGATCCATAAATGTAAGCTCTGATCTTTGACCACAAAGATCTAAGTCCATAACAAACTCTCAACCAATAAATTCAGAGACTTTTATGGAAATGCAGAGATAAAAAGTGCATCCACATTTGAGAAAGTACATCAAAGACAAGATATTCAAAGTTCAAACTAAAGAAACAGAAACCCAACAACCTTAAAGCAGCAGATCCAACAATTAGTATCAGTACCAATTAGACATATATGTTCCAAATCTAAGACAGGCATCTCAAAGTTCCAACATTTTGTACTTGCATTGTTCTCTTGCAATAAAACATAAGCAGAAAGATGGAAACTTTGAATATATTTTTATTGCAGGATTTGATGGGGACTAACTTTGGGTGCCAGCCGATGCTGAAACGATGAGTACAGAAGCTACAAGAAAGAGAAACCATGTGCTGTTTGCCCCCATCGTTGCTGAAGCTCGGGGGGGGGGGGGGGGGGGGGTGGGGGGGGGGCGGTGGTGTGAAGAGAGAGAGAGAGAGAGATTAAGGGGAGGAGATGATAGCAAGTAATGCGTCGGCTTCACTTGGGGTCCGGGATTTACTAGAACTGGACAGCTATTATTTGCGGGGCAGGCATTACCCTTTATTCTTAATTGTTTTTTAAACTTGATTAATTTTTGATAAATTTTAATTAATTTTATAAAGAAAGAAAGGAGAAAACTTGTGTGTGTGGGCCTTGTGGGAGTGCTATAGGCCACCAACCGGGTCATCGAATTCAATCCGTGTTTGGGCTTGTTTAGAAGTCTTTTAAAGTGTGTAAAAAAAATTTAGTAAAAATATTTTTGAAATTGATTATTGGTAAATACTAAATATGTAAGTAAATTATGGAAAAAAAAAAAAAAAAACACTTAACGTGCATCCTGTAAGATGCACATATGAAGTGCTTTTGAAACCCAAAATTATTTCTCTAAAAATACTTTCAATCATTTTAAAAATATTTTCAAACGAGCTATTGGACAGTGAATAGATGTTCCTTCAAAGTTCAGCCCCTTCACAACCACATTTGATGCTAGTCATTGGCAGTTTGGTAGAATTGCTTTGGTACAACATGGCTTAACTGAATGTCGCTATGAAAAGTTATTGACAGTTAAGACTGTTGATGATTGTGGTGACCTAGGGAGAGAATATAAGAGCATTTAATCACAGAGGTTGGTTGGTTAATTAGTTGTTAAGACTTTTCAGCCAAGATATCTATGAGATTATCATAACTATTTACTTTGATTTCTTGCAATGAAAATCGACAGAAGTAATCCTTAGTTCGTCATCCATTAAGTGGAGGGGTCATTCGGTGAAAATCAATAGAAGTCGTCATTTTGTAAAAAATATGTCAATATCCTCGTTAAGGGAATGAATTAGTTTGACTAAAACATCTTTAAAATGTGATCATGTGACAATTAACGAGGATACTAATAAATTTTCACCGAACAACGAAAATGATTTATGATGGGCAAACTCAAAACCACTTTTATCAAGGACCAACTCAAATGTACACACGGATAAAACTCGCAGAGTTCTTTACAGCGGATGCGTCTTAAGACAGCTATGGTGGCATGGCCACGCACATTAGCACCAACCCATTCAACTCCTCAGCTGTCCCTCTCTCACAGCCTGTAAAGCTCGCCGCAACGTCAAAAAAGTCGCGGCGAGAGAGGTGCGGATCGCCACCATCGAATTGGCGGGAAAGCAGACGATTTGTCTCCATCCTCTGTGTCTCGCCCTCTTTTTTTTTTTCCTTGTCCCTAACCGTACGGCTCATAGATCCTTATTCTCTGTTTGGCAGGAAAGAAAATTAAATATTTTCTAATCAAAATTTAACTTAAACTTGTATTCTTAGGTTTAATGCAGATGCTGTTGCCGGCAGCGGATTCGATAAGTATGTGAAAATGTCGTTGCAATTTACTTTATTTAATCAATGCTTGGTTATTATTGCATCATCTTTCGGATGCTTTAAGCTTTAGCTTTGGGAGGGGGCTAAAAGCGTCTTTTGAAAGGCGCTTTTGATTGCGTTTGGTTGAAAAACTTAATAGAAAGAAGTATTTTAATTTTTAACAAAAACTTGAACTTGTTTATTAGAAAAGCAGTTTTGCGGCTTATAAACATAAATGTTTTCTAGAGAAGCAATTTCAAACGAGCCTAAATGAGACCAATTGGGTATGCATGATGTACACTTGTGGTCACAAGTGCTTTTGATAGAAGTGTTTTTGTTAGAATTACAGAGTCTTCTCTTTTTTTTCAACCCAAGTGCTTCTAGTTCTAGAAAACGATTTTATGACCTAAAAGTACATTAAAATTTTCCGCTACAGGCTGAAAAGGGGTTGTTACCCCATGGAAGTAGCACTTATTACGCATAAATATGATAAACTCACGAAAAAGCTCGACCCTCTCGAGGCTTATGGATCGCCAGGCATATTAACCCAATTGCAAATCAAGGACTTTGGTAATATCCTTTGCTTCTGTTTTCCTTGATCCTCGATTTCTCTCTTGTAATTTTCGACGATTTATCGTTACTTTGTCCAAGCACAGTGCCGTTCTAAGATTCATACAACCGCTCTCACTAAATAGAATAAGGCTTTGTTGTTGGTGTATCATCACTTCGTTAAAGTGGTAAAATTTTGTTGTAATGTTTCAACAACTGCAGAGAAATCTCTGGAAGGTGACCAACCCCAGTTTGCTACTTGCCGATCTCGGCTGCGTTCAGGCCTGGCAGCGTCACTTCACGTATATATTCGAGCTGTACGTTGAGAGGATTCCTCGAGGAGCATCAGTCTACATGCTTTATGTCCATTTGCTTTACGTTATGGCAGTTTTTTGTGTACATTATGAATTCCTAAGAGCTTCGGAAATGTTTACCGGAACTATAGGTGGCGCAGTATGCTTCAGACGATGATGGCAATGGGAAAACTGCTTCAAGCGATGTTGATCAATGTCTCAGGTACCATCACTGTCCCGGCAAAAACATGGTTCTTCTGAACTGGATACAAGAGAGCAGTCACAACCTTATGACCGATGTCAATCTTAAGACCCGGGTGATTTTTCGATTTTTGAAGGGCCTTGGAGGAGCTGGATTCTTTGCTTTTGCACGCAACGAGGAATGAACGAGCTCCGGTCAGTTCTATGAAGGCACAGATTAATACTGCCCTTAATGCACTGGACAGGTGAATCTTTATCTTCATCTCCTTTCGTATACACAACAAAGCTAATTTCTGATAACCATCTTCTTTGCAGCCTCCTCAAAACCGTACCTTCAGTAGTGCTAGCAAAGGGAAGATGGCGGCCGATTCCTACAGGAACTCCTTAGAGAATGCAGATCTTGATATTTCGGACCCGGACCTGAAGCAATTGGAATCAAAACTGTAAACTCATGAGCTATGAAAATCTTCCAACACATACCTGATTTGTATATTTTTCGCCCACATGTCGAAGCATCTCTCGTACAAGAAGACCTGATCATCATAGTGTTTCACATGATGGACCTGAAGCAAACTGGACAGCAAAGCATTTACATTGACGACATACATCTTTTGATATTACGGTAAAAAAATAGTGAATCCTTATGAAAATTCCAGGAAATCGAAAACAGGAACTAAGGAAAATTAATCCAGAAAAACAATTTATTGTATACATAAAGGCAGTAACAAATTCAGTACCCTATACACACAGAATTCAAATGGTTTAGAATTCCACTCATCGCGGAATAGTCAAATTCAAGATGAACACTAGCTCAACATAAAAGCAAACATTACTCATTGTATGGGTTACACATGAAGCCTATGTCTGCTACCTATATAATACCTAAATTAAATACAAGCACAATACCATTTACATACAAATTCCGGGATGGATGACCAAATCTGCTTGCTGGACTAAAAGCCGAGTCAAATAAGCCCCGCGGAAGAAAAGATGCATTTCTTGCTATAATCAAGACTGTTGCAGGCTGCTGAAGATGCGCTTCAAATTAGGGCATGCAGCACGTAATCTCCCCATGCTCATCGTGCTTATCTGTCAATCACCATAAAAGACAGTATTAGATTGTATTATAAGAGGCACGTTTTCTTACAACGATATAGCAGGGGAGAGTAGAAGATTGTACTGACCTTGGGACAAAAACGAACATCAAGAGTCTCCAGCATGCTACATTTCGATATGGCAGCTTCCACCGCTGCTTCATCGATGTTGCAAGACTAATACAAAACCCCAGCAAGAAAATGAAATTAGGGACCAGCAGTAAACTAAATAAAAATGATTTTATAGAAAGCAAAAAAAAATATTAAAAAAGTCTATATGAATGTCCCTTAAAAATAAAAAATAAAAAAAAATAAAAAAATCCCAGGTTCCATGCCTTTCAACATTTTGTTGGTATGGTCGAACATGAATTTTACATGGAGTTAAATATATTTTTTTTTTAAGGTGATAATCCGTATAAATATAACCACATAAGAGGCTGAATGCGTACCTGAAGAAAGAGACTAGTCAATTTCGGACAGTCAAGCTTCAAAACTTCCAAAGAAGTACAATTGCTGAATAAAAAGACAGAAATGTTAGTAGTAAAGACAAAACATCATGAAAATCTAGAACTAAATATACAAAGAGATGTTCAAACTAAATAAACGAATTACCTCAAATTAAGAAAGCAGAGGTTGAAACAAGCAACATCAACGTCCTTTAAATTTGCAGAAAGAGAAAGGTTTAAAGATGACATGTGGAAACAACGTGCTGCTGGTGGAATGACAACTTTCCTAATATTTGGACAACCTACACAGTTGAGGTTCTGCAGTAACCGATTTGGCTGCTTAATTGGCACCTGGACATTCTCAGGTAAAAACATGATAGATAGGGAAGGTTGCCCGGCACTGCTACCCCAATTCAGGTCATGCATGTTCACACAGCCATTCAAGCTCACATGAGTCAGGTGCGTACAAAAAGAAAGAAGCTCCTCGATAGCAGACTGACAGAGGGTTCCATAAGACAAATCCAGTTCTTGGAGAGCTGGAAGAGCCCCATCCTTGTAAAGAGGCTCCAATGATGAGTCAGATAAGTACTTGCAGGCTTGTAACTTTAACACCTGGGAAAAGATAAGAAAAGATAAGATCCAAAAAATCATGTCAAAAAATCTGCCCAAGATTCTTCTAATTTTAGTTCAAATAAAGAAACATCCACATTCTGTTCAAAGTACATGAAATATCAATATCCTATGGTAGGAGGATCACCATGCTAAATTTAACAACAAATCAACAAAGTATGAGCGTAAAAATCACCTTAAGTTTCATACAAGACTCGAAAACTGGCTTCAAGTTCGTCAAGAAAGTGTAGGACAAATCAAGCAGAATCAAATTTGGAAGCCAGCGCAAAGAGTAGAGTCCATCAGAACCAACAGAGGGGCATGACATTAGAATTAAAGACTCTATCAGCGGGCATGAAGCAGCTGTTGCAGACAAGCAATCGTCCCTAAGCTGACTGCTTGTACAAATTATGAGCGATTTGAGTTTAATTGAGACTGAAACAGTAGGGATCAGAGCGGGCTGGCAGGTAAAGTACTAAAAGTAATGAAAATAACCTGCAAAAGGAAGCGTCTAGAGATGTTAATAGTGGACAATTGATGGATGCTTCAGCTAACACACCACATCCCTTCAACTCCAGCAGCACCATATTTGGCGCTTCGATACTGAGCGCATTCAATTTGGGACATATTCCCAAATTTAGTGACTTAAGACCAACCTGAAGAAAGGAATGAAAAGATTCAGTTTCCTATTGATTGCTTAATGTCAGAATTGACATGTAGTGAAAAAAGTGCGATAAGAGTCCGCACATCTCATGGCTTTATATAAGAGCAACATAATTCACACTGTAAAACTCATAAATTATCATAAAATCTTTTTAGTTTACAAACATTCTCACTTACTGGACAAAATGCTGCTCTTTCAAGATGATCACAACCATCTAAAGAAACTTGTTCAAGATAGGGGCAAGTCAGTTCGAGAGATGTAATTGCCCGGCAACCAACAAGTGAGAGGCTGACTAAAGAAGTGCTACAGAATCGAACCGCAGTTAAGCTCTGGGTGAAGTAAGAGATTATGTCAGCCAAAGGAAGTATACATAAGATCAGCCAGCTGATATCTCAATTGACCAAACAAGTAATTAAGGATGATTCAACCCTCCCTGAATAACAGTCCAAGTATCAGGGAACAAATAATAATCAAAGAGTTTTTCACAACCCCCAATATGATTCAGGGGAATGACCAACAGGTTATGCACTTGTTGACAACATGGTTTAAACTCACAAGTTTATTGCATCAATTTACAGAGTCACATAAGAATACATAAAATAATTTCAGACGGCAAAATTTATCTCATCCCATAAGCTAGCGTAATCAAATCTCAAACAGTATTAACTCAGGTAATGAGAAGAAATAAATTGACAAACCTCACAGTTTTCAAGAACTAATGTTTTGAGCAAAGGACACCCACCACCATCGCTGAAAACATCACATATAGAATTTGTTAAAGATTCACAATCTGTAAGGTCCACTTCTTGCAAACTTTGGCATTGCAGTGCCAGCATGGTTAAGCTCTCTTGCTTTTGCAATGCTAGTTTCTGCAAATTCCAAAGACCACTTGTTCAGATTTCATGTGTCTAATAAAATGAACACTAAAAGAATATAAATGGTTCTTCAGAAGACTTACCTGAAGTGAATTTGAAGTGATGTTGATACGGTGGAGCACAGGACAGTTAGAGACCATTATTGATGACAGCATGATGCATCGTAGATTCAAATCAGTAAATCTGCAGAAGAAATATGCAAGGTGAAAAATTTATAAACAAATAAGAGAAATTCTCCTCTCCAATTGCGAAGCTTTCTAGGTTTTTCCACCGGGGTGGTTGGGGGGGGGGGGACCGGAAAGAACATGAGCTTACTTGCGACAATGTACTAGTCTAATATTCTGCAAGCGTGGAAGGTCCAAATTCACAGCGGTAAGTAGACTGCAATTGTCAAGCTCCAAAACCTACAATGAGTAATAATCAGATTAATATGTTTAAAGGCATTCAGTGAGACAGACAAACAATACTGATATTTGAGACCAGATTCATACCTCAAGCATGTAACTATGAGATATTGCAACCATTGAAGCCGAGGTGATGCCCTCACAACTGTGAAGCTTAAGAACTGTCAACATTGGCAGTCTTACAGACTTCAAAACAAAAACAAGGCACAGAAGCATGTCAAATAAAATAAACCAAATATTGGTACTAAAAAAAGGACGGTGAAAACCACTACAAACTAACCTCAAGGGATATATTTGGACAGTACGACGCATTGAGAACATGGAGATTAGCACAAGTAAGAGCAATCTCACGTAGAGTTTCATCAGTAACACAGGAACAATTTGACATATCTAATGACTCTAATTGAGGACATGAGATTGCCGCTGAACGAATTGCAGCATCTGAAAGCTTGTGGCAAGAGCCTATATCAAGATCATGCAAAAGAGGGCTATTAAGAACAGCCTGCGCCATGTTACTGCGTTTCAATGACAGAGTTTCAAGTTGAGGACACCTGCAAAAAATCAGATTTAGCACAAAAATGTAGCCAAGTAGACAGCACGTGACAATTCAATTTTAATTAAAAAAAATAAAAATAGAAAAACACCTGATGGATATCCGCATAACACGACATTTTGTTAATTGAAGATGACGCAGTCTATCATGGTTTATAGGTATCTCCTGGATACCATTACCAAGAGTAGCATCATTGATGATCAAACTTTTCAACATTTGACAGTCTGCCAAGGAATGGAAAAAGATGTCCCCTAGTTGCCCTTTCCCTAGGATTAAAACCTCGAGATTCCTGAGAAAAAAAAAAAAACAAAAATGCAAGTTACTTGAACTGAAAACTATATCAAAGAATAAATACAATAGCATAAATATTTAGAAAAGCAATTTACCTCAATGAAGCGAGAGCTTTCATGACAAGCGAGTGAATAGCAGGGGTACCAGAAATATTCAATTCTGTGGCATTGGGATACCGCCAACATATGTCCTCAACTGTAATTCCATATAAAATGAGTAATAAGCACACAATTTGATATGTTAAAAAATTAATTTTTTATTTGAACTTTTCTGATTCAGTTATATAATATCAAATTGACCCCATATAGTATTTTTAGTCAAAGAATAAATTTAGACTTTTATTAAAATTTACACTTTCACTAAAATTTACAAATGGAAACTAAAATATTATGAACTCAACAAACACATTATCCATGCCTCATAAACTATGAGTAATAATAACCAACCAACGTTTAATCTAATAAATGAATACTTCCCAAATGCATTATCCATATCATTAGCTATGTCCGAA